CATAATGTCATCGTGGCTGATATAATGGACGACTGCATCCTAGGCCTAGACTTTATGAGGAATAATTGTTGTGAGATCGACGTTAAGCAAGGTGTTTTGAAATGTGGACAGGAGGAACTTTTTATGGAAGGTGCGTTACCAGGGAACGTGTACAGCATCAAGAAGATTGTTCTTCCGCCGAGATCGGAAACGATTGTTCCGGTTAGTCTACCTCGAAACGCTGGGCAAGCTCACCGTTGTGTACTTGTGGAAAGGGTAAACAATGACCTTCCATGGAAAGTTGCTCGAACCTTGGTCAGGACCACTGACATCTCAGGAGTACGTGTGCTGAACCTTTGCGACCGGGAACAGATTATAGAAAAAGGCACACTGGTTGGTACTTGTGAGGAAGTGGATTGGTTACGGCAGTGCCAATATATATCGAGTGGGACTCCCAGCAAGGATTCAGAAACGAGAGTGACCACACTTCTGGAAGACTGTCGCAGTGTTCTGTCCCCGAACGAATTGGTCAAGGCGAAGAAGTTGTTACTCGAGTACGCCGATGTATTCTCATCAAACGATGCTGACATAGGAAAGACTGGTTTAGTTCAACACAAAATAAATACAGGTGAAGAGTTGCCTATCCGTCAGCGGCCAAGACCATTGCCGGTAGCACGTGAAAAGGAAGTGGAAACCATGATTAAGGGAATGGTGAAGGATGGTGTTATTGAACCTTCATCTAGTCCATGGTGTTCACCCGTGGTACTGGTAAAGAAGAAGGACGGCAGCTTGCGGTTTTGTGTTGATTACCGCCGTCTGAACGACGTTACTAAGAAGGATAGCTATCCCTTGCCAAGAATTGACGACACGCTGGACATGCTTACAGGAGTAAAGTGGTTTAGCACGCTGGACCTAAAAAGTGGCTACTGGCAAGTTGAAATTGACCCTAAGGACAAGGAGAAAAACTGCGTTCTCGACGGGAAAGGGTCTGTGCCAATTTAAAGTAATGCCGTTTGGGTTGTGCAATGCTCCAGCAACGTTTGAAAGGCTGATGGAACTTGTACTTACCGGGCTAATTGGCGACGCCTGTCTGGTCTACTTGGATGACATCATCATCGTGGGCCGTACGTTTGAGGAACACATTCAAAACTTGGAACGCGTGCTCATGAAGATTAAGAGTGCCAACCTCAAGTTGTGTTCGAAGAAATGTTCACTATTCAAACGGCAAGTCAACTTTTTGGGGTATGTAGTGTCGGAAGAAGGTATCCGCACGGATCCAGAGAAAATCGCAGCTGTAAAGGATTGGCCGGTTCCAAAAGACAAGACGCAGGTTAGAGCTTTTTTGGGTTTGTGCTCCTATTACCGACGTTTTGTGAAGAACTTTGCAGATATAGCCAAACCTCTACATAAGCTAACCGAGGAGAAACGACATTTCGGCTGGGATGAAAGTTGTAATATCGCATTCCAGGAGCTCAAGGACCGTCTGTGCAAAACACCTATTTTGGGATACCCTGATGCAAGCAAAGAATTTATAGTTGACACAGACGCAAGTGATATAGGACTTGGCGGTGTGTTGTCTCAACGGAATGGTGACCAAGAGGTCGTGATAGCGTACTTCAGCAAGTCGTTGTCAAAACCGGAAAGGAACTATTGTGTCACAAGACGCGAATTGCTAGCTGTGGTAAAGTCGTTGCAGCATTTTAGCAAATATCTTCTGGGGCGAAAATTTCACTTACGAACTGACCATGCTGCACTAAAATGGCTATTGCAGTTTAAAAATCCAGAAGGACAAGTTGCGAGGTGGATTGAACTACTGCAGGAATACGACTTTGAGATCGAACATCGCAGCGGGATTGTACTAGGCAAGAGAGTAAGGAAGTGCAGACCACCTCAGCAACGAGTGGAAGGACAGCTTTCAACGTGCACAGCAGGAAGATCCGGACATCAAGCCGATCCTGGAATGGATGAAGGCCAGTACTCCCAAGCCTAAGTGGAGCGACGTCTCAGCAATGAGTTCAACCACTAAAAGCTATTGGGCCCAGTGGGACAGCTTGCTGCTTCAGGATGGAGTTCTGTGCCGTAAATGGGAAAATGTTCGGGAGACAGCTGTCATTTACAAATGGTTGTCCCTAAAACTAAAGTACCGGATGTTCTACAGCTGTACCATAATGATTGTTCAGGAGGCCATCTGGGAGTTAAACGAACCCTACTGAAGATCCGAGAACGGTTTTACTGGGTCCACTGTCGAAACGATGTCGAGGACTGGTGTCGCAAATGTACAAGTTGTGCGGCTGTAAAGGGACCTCAGACTCGTAGTAGAGGTGCATTGAAGTTGTACAATGTGGGTGCACCATGGGAGAGAATAGCCATTGACGTGGCGGGGCCGTTTCCGGAGAGTGAAAGCGGTAACAAGTATTTCATGGTTGTGATGGATTACTTCACTAAGTGGCCAGAAGTCTTCGCCATTCCAAATCAAGAAGCTTCAACAGTTGCAGATAAACTAGTTCATGAAGTCTTCTGTCGTTTTGGAGTAACTTTAGAGATTCACAGCGATCAAGGAAGGAATTTTGAGTCTCAAATATTCCAGGAAACTTGCCGAGTTATGGGTACTCATAAAACAAGAACGACTTCTTATCACCCGCAATCTGATGGAATGGTGGAACGATTTAATCAGACATTGGAGAGGTACCTAGCAAAAGTTGTAGACAATCGGCAACGAGATTGGGACAAGCACATACAACCGTTTTTGTTGTCATATCGAAGTTCTGTTCACGAAAGTACAGCAGTGACACCAGCTTTCGCAAACTTTGGAAGAGAATTACGGCTGCCTGCGGACCTGATCACCGGGATACCACCTGATGCCCCACGCAGTATAACCGATTATGCAAATGACTTGCGGAACAAAATGAATGACGTTTATGAGCACGTCAGACAATCGGGCCAGCAAATGTCTGAGAAAATTAAAACCCGGTACGACCGCAACATGAACAATAAAGGGTTCAACGAAGGTTCATTAGTGTGGTTGCACAATCCAGTCCGCAGCAAAAGGGAAATCTCCTAAGCTTCAAGCTAAATGGGACGGCCCGTACCGGATTGTAACCAGGATCAACGATGTGACCTACCGGATACAGAAAGGCGCAAGAGGGACTCCTAAGATCGTCCATGTGGGATCGCTTGGCGCGTTATTATGGGACTGATAATGCTCGGGACGAGCATGTCTTAGGAGGGGGCAGTGTAGCATGAATAAGTCAACTAGCGCCATCTAGTGTCAGGAACGAGAGCGAGGGGAGCATTGAGAAAATGACATCACAAATCACTCAACTGACAGCGCCTAGTCGAAACTCGAACGCTCGGTACCTTGCGCGTGTTTACTTGAACATTATGGATATTTCTTTGCTAATTTAAATATATAGGGGCTGCAAGATGCGAGAGATATAGTTGAACTCGGCGACACAAGCGAAGCTTCGGAGCGGAATTAAGTGAATTAGTGTGTTTAATTATTAGTGTTTTTAGTTTTAATTTGTGTAAAGTAAATTAAAGTGTTAATTTAGGTAATTTTATCGGCAATTTTTATTGTCACGAACCTCAAGCTCGTAACATATATATATATATATATATATATATATATATATATATATGAATTTATTTATTTATAAAGATTGTAAAATGACGTTTTAGTTTGTTTATATAGATGAAATTTAGTAATTGATTTTATTATAAAAACTTTTGAATATTTGCATGCTGTTGAAAACAGCTAAATAGGTTTTCTTAACACATAACAGTATAACATCAATAAGAAAACATTTTGTACCTATTTAGTTGCAAATAAAGGAATTTGAATTTGATGATTATGTTTAAGAGGGGACGGTAAATAAACACAGCATAGGTAAAGCTTGGTAGTGCCTAAAATTAAAGTTGTCCATAAATCCTCACAGCGACTTTCGAAAGTGTAATTTATATGTGCATGGATAGACTTCTTAACGGCAATAAGTACACCTCCACCATCAGTAGCCATTACAATAGTATTTGATGATCTTTCTCTCCTAAAAACCTGATAACGGTCGTCAAAAATTTCGCTGTCATATATACCATCGTTGAGCCAAGTCTCCGTTAATACAATCAAATCAAAATCATTGACACTAACTTCAAGAAAAATGTCGTTTAATTTTGTCCGCATGCCGCGAATATTTTGATAATATATGCAAAAATTTAACTTAAAAATTTAACTTAAAGCACTAATCACTTTTTGAAAGAGTAATAACTAATACTAATTAAACTAGTCTATTCAGCAGGGATGGGGGATATGAAAAGGATATTGAACGACGAGTGAATGCAGGAAATAAAGTAAATGGGGCTCTACACTCTATTGTGAAAAGTCAGAATGTGTCAAAAAAGGCACGTATGGCAATTCACAATGCTGTATTAGTACCTACTTTAACATATGGTAGTGAAAGTTGGGTGTGGCAGAAGAAGCACGAGAGTAGAATAAATGCAGTAGAAATGCGGTCGCTAAGGAGTATATTAGGGCTGAATCTGAGTGACAGGGTGAAAAACTGTGTGATAAAAGAAGAATGTGGTTTGCAAGATGATGCAGTGACCAGAATTAAGAAAGGAATGCTTCGGTGGTTTGGTCATGTAGAAAGAATGAATGCGGAAAGACTGACAAAGCAAATGTATGTTGCAGAAGTGAAAAGAAGAGTCGGAAAGGGATGTCCTAGGCGGAAGTTTATCGACCAAATTGGCAATATACTAAACATGGGCCAAATTAAGAGTACCCTTAACCGAGGGTATATGGATGTGGAAGAGGGGAGAGAGGTATGTCAGGATCGTGCTAAATGGAAGTCTGTAGTCTCTGCCTACCCCTCTGGGTGACAGGCGTGAGTGTTTATTTTTATATGTAATTAAACTAAAGACTTTAAAAAATCCTGATGCAATACCAACTTTGCTGGGTGTTCGTCGTCCTTTCTTAGAAAGATTTTTCTATTTCTCACCCATACATATTTGAAATTGTGTTCTTTGGCTTATATTCTTGTTATTGTGTGGAGCGATTTGTTAGCTTGTGCTAGATGCTCGGAGATGTGGACCGGTGACTCCTTGCCGCCATAACCTAGTAGTTTTGTGTTTAAATTTTCATTGGGATGGGATATGTTGTACTTATATAAAGCTGCAAGCAGATTGTCACGTTTCAGCTTATTAACGAGTCTGAATACAATTGTTTTAGGCAAATTCGACGTCTTGTTTTGCTTTTGTACACGATTACAAGACAAAACATCAGTTTCAGATAGAGGAAAACCTATCACTTTTCCAATTTGCATCACTACATTAATTAGGTTTTCTTGTTTATGCTCTGCAAGACAGTGGATTTCTATGTTATTCTGCCGGGAATCTTGTTCTATTGCTGACAATCTTGATTCTAGGTCTTTAACTTTGCGTTGGAGTAATTCACTTTCAGAACGGAGTTGCTTGATATCCCACATGTAGGCCTCTACTTTAGTCTTCATATCCTCAAAATTGGCATTCATGAAGCTTATAGAATCCTCAAAGCTGCGCATCTCTTTTCTCAAGGATGAGAACTCTTCTCTAATTGCCTCCCTTACTATACCATGAAGCTCTTCTTGCATTATGGTTCTCATAGTTAAGCGCAAATTTTCCGCCTCATTATAAGTGTTGCCACTCTCCCGTGAGTTTCTATTGACGTTACATATTTCATCAATAGGACTGGCGTCAATAGGAGGCTGTCGTCGCATAACTCTTAAATGGTGTGTCATCATTCTTTGTCTGCCGCTGCGCAGATAACATTTCTATAGAACAATCAGGACATTTCCAGTTCGACTTGCTTTTAAAATTTGCACTGGTAAGATTTAATAAGACATAGATAATGAAACTGCTTTTTACAGCGGGATTGCGTACATGTGATTTTTTTCAGTACTTTTTAGGGTGTTATTACAACCGCTACAAATATTGTTACTCATTTTATTTACCTTTAGACGCAAAAATGTTTGAAAATCTTTGTACGTTTAAACGCAGCACAATAATGGTCGAGTAGCCGGTCAGCGATTCAACGCGGCACGGTGACGAGTTGTATACGCGACGTCTCCGAATGAACCTATGACTCACCCACCGGTAGCCGAGTGAAGCGATGCAGCGAGCAGCGAGTGTTAAAATGTTCGTTACCAAAAGTTTTCTAAATGTTTTCGATTATAACTTTATATTCCTCGTGTTTATCACGATACGATTTTCACTTATTTGTTCGTAGATGAATAAACAAAACATCAGATATGAAGAGTTTACTATGGTAGGGAAAATAATTTCCCAGAGCAAAACAACACACGTCTTTCTGTCTTCGCGTTATCTAGCGTATGAATCTAACAGCAAAGTGGACATAAATTAAGAGTGCAATTTCTTTAAGTAATTAATTGTTGAAGACACCAAAAATTTATTAGATCTATTTAAAAATAAATAAGTTGTCGTACTAAGCAAATAATTAACGCATCATATAAAAGTTACGCGTCAATGATTAATTTATGATTTTAAATAGCCTACAAATAAATTGTATTAAAATTAATGTATTCTAAAGAAAAAAATTAGAGCACGTAAATAATACGTGCTAATGTCACTTTATTTGTAATTCCCTTCTAATGCTAAATTATTAAAAAAACAATAAATATGCTTGGAGCTCTTTATATAAATAAATGGACATCGAACATGTGGTAAAAGGTGTAAATATTAAGAAGACTAGATAACAGGACAAGCTTTTGCCTCATATTTTCATAATATGCGAGTAAAATTAGATTGATTCCCGCTGTCAGTATCAATCATAAAACTATGAATTTCAGTTTTAATTGGTAATTTAAGTCGATAATTTACCAAGGAAGGCAAATATCGTATCATTTATACGAGAAGTGTTGAACCTAACTGTAATGTGTATAATTATTGTGATATTTTCACATAAATACATAAACGCTGAGTATGTAGTAATTTAAGTAGACTGTAAGTATACGATTAAAAATTGTAAAAGACAATGGACAGAATAAATTCACATGTCTCTCTGTGAACACGTAGTTTTAATTAGTTTTAAAAAAGCTCTCGGCAGCTCCCGCAACTTGACCGGCGCAGCCGGTAGGATCACCGGAAAAGCTGTACCACCGTTCGTGAATATCGCGTATACAATTTTACCCATTTTCACGCATCGGCGGAAGATCCATACAGCATGGTGATGGTGATACAGCGAACCAAAACAAATTCGTCGAGAATAAGGAGCCGTGAAGCTGATGATAGGCATTGCGGGCTGGTGAGTACGACTCTTCACCTCATTTATATCCCTTAGTAGACTTGAAATTACACATTTTCCATTTTGACTGTTATTTGGATCTCAAATACTAATCTTACGTAAATTTTATAATGTATTAAGCGTAATAAATAACTATTGCTAAAATAAAAATTAAAATAATATTAATTTAATTGTAATACGAACACAATATTATGTCCCATATTACTCAATAAAGTTGTAGAGTATATTATATTAAGTATTATACATTACATTAAGTTCTTACATTACATTAAGTTCTTATTGTGTCTACATGTGTTTGTTTATTTAAAGATTACTCAACATGTTAATACATAATAGATTAGTACTTATACTCGAATTTTCCTTACAACAAATGTTGAACAAGTAGAGTTATAATAAATATTTTACTTTATTTTTTATTTTTGTGCAGAACCAGTGAATAAATTATTTAAAATGTCGGAAATTAAACTTATCTCTAATGAATTTACTAAAATAATACCAACATTTAGCGGCAATAAACGCAATTTAAATTTATTTTTGCGTAAATGTGAATATATAATAAGTAACTATAAATCATCCGATGCCCAAAATGAATATATAATGCAAATCATTACTAAACGTCTTATGGGCGTGGCTGCGTCGCTTATCAATGAACGGGAAGAAATAGAGAGGTGGTCCGAATTCAAGGAATTGTTTTTAACTCACGTCAGCGACCCATGTCGCGAGGGGTTTTTTGTTTAGCCATAGAATTAGAAACTAACACGCTAAATCAGTGTCATTATCGAAGGTTAATCAAATTTGTGATAAAAACTTAAAAATAGGTAAAACTATTGTTTATAATAATACCAATCTGCGGGTTGTCAGGTTGAAAACACCCAGTACAGAAGCAGAAACACTCAGTATAGTTCTAGAAGAAGTAAACTTCTATGACCGATATTAGATACATACTAAAATGTTACAGTCTAGCCATACGTCTAAGCCACAGTCTAGTAGTACACTAGTGCAACAACCATCGTTTAATTTCGCAATGCTAACACAGCCTACAGGTTTTAGACCAATGTCAGCACCAAAACAACCCCCTAGGCAGAATTTTGGAACACCACTTCAATTTATGTTTGGCATTCCCCATAGTAGACAAATGAGGATTCCTTTACCACAAAATAAGCCTCCCCCCCTCTATATAAAAATACTATAATATTAAATACTAAATATATTATATTCCCCTTTATATTAAAAATTATATATATGTAACCAGGATAAATCAGATATGTTTTGATCTTTCTAAATGATCTCTCAAAAGGTTTATTAATAAGCCGTTTGTAATATTTTGGCGTGATCGTCTTAGTAAGGACCCTTATTTACTTTGTGTTTGTTTAGTAACTTAGTTCTTTTAGGTGTCTTTTGGAAGAATGAATATTCACTAGAGTGATTGAAAGCTGTTGGTAGTGCCTTATAAACTAAGTGAACACCGTTCACGAAGACAGGACTCGAGAAAAGTTAAGAACATAAAATGTCCTATTCCACTTGTATCAGATTTACATTAGTAATTTATTATTAATTATCCTTTCCCGCTTGGAAAAGGCTCACAAAATACCCGATGCAAAGGCTTCGCTCTCCTACATTTATTTAAAAAAATGTAGGGGAGGCACACGGCCCCACACACGCCGTTCACGGTGAGCGCCAACCATTTTGATGCACTCCCTCCGAAGGGAACGTTAATTCGGGATTTGGACCGTAGTCCACAGCAAAATAACTGTCGAACCAGTAAAAGAGGCTTGGCCCGTTTGTTAGTGCGTAAGCACAAACATCGACCGAAGTCGCGCATGTCAATGCGTGTAAACGCCATACAGAATACGAATGAATCCAGCCACAGTGAATGTACCACAGTGAGTTTAGGCAAATAGGCACACTGGCCGTAAACCCTCCGTGAGCGCCACCACCTGCCAGACCGCCGCTCCTGCAGACGTGATGTAAGTGTATGGCATCACCACCAATTGCATGATCAGCACGGCTACTAGCCACAGAGCCTGTCATGAGTCTACCGCTCACCTCAAGGGACCGGGATCCCACGTTGTGTGGTTTTCGGCCGCAGCCTTGAGAGTCTCCTCAGATTCTCCCGCCAGCTACCACCCGCATGAGGTCGACATCAACGCTTCGCACGCTCCACCAACCAATACAACGGCAGATATAGTCAAAAGGCAGTTATAAGATAAGAGTAATAATTCGCCATCAGAAAGGGTTTGTCTCACTGACGTTGAGAAAATGCATTTTCGATCATGTATGTCTCACCCACCAACAAGGAGCCTTCAATCATTCAAAGGTGGGAAAGTTACAGAGATATATTATTATGTTGTTATATAAAACATCATAGACGGGCAGTCAGTCTGTAGCCCCGTAATAAAGGGTCCCGACTTGGGTAAAGCTACTTAGGTGTGAGTCACACCAAGACGCAGAGAGCGCCGTTGAGAATAGCGTCCCACCAAACAACCATCGCAGAGACGCCAAACGCCAAAGACGCCAGTGAACAAAATTCCATGTATCATAGCGCTAATGCACTAAGACATGAAGTTGAGTATGCCTGTTACACTTAAAAGTGCTGCCAAACACACTCATCCCAATCCGAAAGATAGACGACGCATCGCTATTTGCTACGACGCCGCCTACAAACGGTATGGGTGTGCGATGTCCACGAGAAAGCCGTATTGCTACGACAAACCCGCTTACCATCACCACTAAGATCTTGTTAATTGTATACCTCCATCGACCAGAACCACAAGAATGCGTCAAATCAGGCGCAGCACAGCTGCAGATCTATCACAAGACGCAATACTGCAAGTAGCAGTAAGCATCAATGCAACTATCATACGGGTGTCACCCTCTCACAACACACCCACATGATCCCTATCGACTTTGGTAACAAAGTTTGTATTGTTGTTAACTAAAAAATATCACCACCTTGTGATACGCTTTGTTCACTGGCGTCTTAGTAGCACGCTACTAGGACGCCAATGAACAAAACTCCACGTATCAAAGCGCTAATGCGCTAAGACATGAAGTTGAGTATGCCTGTTACACTTAAAAGTGCTACCAAACACACTCATCCCAAACCGAAAGATAGACGACGCATCGCTATGCGCTACGACGTCGCCCACAAACGGTATGGGTGTGCGATGTGCACGGTAAAGCCGCATTGCTACAACAAACCCGCTTACCACCGGCACTAAGATTGTTGTTATATAAAACTGCACCAACGTATCATAGTAGCGCGCTACTAAGACGCCAGTGGACAAAATTCCACGTATCATAGCGCTAATGCACTAAGACATGAAGTTGAGTATGCCTGTTACACTTAAAAGTGCTACTAAACACACTCATCACCCTAATCCAAAAGATAGACAACGCATCGTTATGCGCTACGACGTCGCCCACAAATGGTATGGGTGTGCAATGTCCACGGGA